GCTGAGTTATTTTAAAAGTTAATTTCTCCTCTATACTGCAATATTGAAAATGAACGTGATTTTCCTGCATAATTTAACCTGCTAACCCCCATGAGTGACCAAGACAGAATTTCTCCTTACAATATCTACACAATATCAATCAGATAAGTGATAAGAATTAAGAAAAAGATCAATTTCAGATAATTAGTTGATTCTATACTAAATTCTCTGAACTAATATAATAAGAATTGTATAGTTGGCAGTAAGGAGAATTACAAATTTGATCTGGGAGTTAAAGTGTTGGGATACAAGCATCTGTCATGATATTCTAGCTTTCAATCAGTTGGATTTTGGGGGGGGAGGGGAGCCAAGAAAGTCAGTTTCACAGCTTATTATTCATGCAGGCTGCAATTATTGCATATAATATTTGTACAGCTAAACAGCATTCAAACTAATCTGAAAAAAGAAATACATTTAAGAACAGTATAATTTACCTACAGTATAATTGCTTGCTGTCTGTACATGTATTTGTACATGAAGCCATTCACCATACTGAACACAATATTTACTTCAATAACCAACATGTCTGTTATTAATACATGATCCATGATATTAACACTGGAGTCCAATCCTCTAACATGTGACCATATAATCAATATGCATTTAAAAGCCAGATGGAAGATTTTCACTAGTTTATTAACCCTTAAACCCCTAAGAGTGACTGGCTTCTAATTTCTCCTTACAGTATCACCTTTGAATCAAGTGTAAGGGTTGTGAGAATAGAAAATGACTGGCGAATAGTGTATACCTCAGTGTTACTTTTAATCTCTTCTATACCCTCTTGGCTGGTGTATACCTGAGGATAATACCTTAAGTCTTTCCTATATATATCCTCTTAGGTAGTGTATACCTGAGGGTTACTTTTAATCTCTTCTATACCCTCTCAAGTAGTGTATACCTGAGGGTTACTTTTAATCTTTTCTATACCCTCTTGGGTAGTGTATATCTAAGGGTTACTTTTAATCTCTTCTATATCCTCTTGAGTACTGTATACCTAAGGGTTACTTTTAATCTCTTCTATACCCTCTTGGGTGGTGTATACCTGAGGATAATACTTTAAGTCTTTTCCATATATATCCTCTTGGGTAGTGTATGCCTGAGGGTTACTTTTAATCTTTTCTATACCCTCTTGGGTAGAGTATACCTCAGGGTTAGGTTTAATCTCTTCTATACCCTCTTGGGTAGAGTATACCTAAGGGTTACGTTTAATCTCTTCTATACCCTCTTGGGTAGTGTATACCTGAGGGTTACTTTTAATCTCTCCTTTACCCTCTCAAGTAGTGTATACCTTAGGGTGATTTTTAATCTCTCTTATACCCTGTTGGGTAGTGTATACCTGAGGGTTACTTTTAATCTTTTCTATACCCACTTGGGTAGAGTATACCTAAGGGTTACTTTTAATCTTTTTTATGCCCTCTTGGGTAGTGCACACTTGCAGGTTATTTTTAATCTCTCCTATACCCTCTTGGGTAGTGTACCCAAGATCTGATTGTCAATTCTCCCCTCCAGCTGCTACACATTTCTTTGCTAATAATTAATTGAGCATTTTAGCTTGAAAGTTGTGTACAAACAATATTTTACTGAGGAGATAACTTTCCTGGAATCAGAACCAAAACATTGATGTTTTCTTTATTTACACAATGAAAACAGCAAGTGATTGAATCTTTGCTGTCTTGCAGTTAGTGAAAATACCAACAGTCTTTGAAATATAATTATGTGTAGACCAAGGAAGAAACCCTAATTTGTAACACTTTTCCTCTTATTGCACCATGCTGTATTGCTTGCCAAAAAAGTAGTTTTAATAGAGTTTATTTTCAAAGGGGATCAATATATACCATCAAATGAGCAATTGTATTAGGAACATGATCCTGTTTATCTATGTGCTGAAGTGAATTAAAATATTTGCCAATTTTTCGCAAGCCAAAAATTGGTAAAAATTTTGAAATTTCCAATTTTTGGTGGCAGTTGCATCAAACTTAAGTATCCTCTGAACAAAACTTCATCAATTGACACATATGTCAATGACAAACCCATCTCCTACTATTAAAAGATAAAGAAAAATTCCTGCTCAAATTACTGGGCAAGAATTGGATTGTCATTAAAAGATTATCTTCGCAGCTTTCTGGTTTTTTGTGGAATTTTGCATTTCTTTCTCAGCAAAACAACATAGTGTTTTTTGTATTGTTGGTACATTATCAGCGGGCTTCTATGCAGCTATAAGTATCAGCTTTTAGACATAGAAGGCGAAGAGTTTGCGTAAATAGAGCTCACTTTCAAAACCATCCTTAGGCGAGGACTCTGCATTCAGCAGAGTTGTTGTTTGAGACTGCAAGGACCATGTATCATTCTGCACTTTCTCTTTTTTATGCCAATCTTTTTGGTTGCAGCTTGCACCACTTGTGCTGGCTTCATTTCTATAATTCCAACAGATGGAGAAGTACTTGTTTAAACTGATTGTTCTCCAAATTGCCACCAGTGGCTGGGCCTATAGGGTACATTTAGTCAGACATTAGAATAAAAATGTTTCCCTCCAAAAGAAAACTGAGGGTCAGATGGACAAGGAAAAAAATTGTCTTGCCATTGCATGCACCAAATTACACTGTCCAACAGACCACAGTATATTTTTCCTGCTTAAATTTTATCTAAATATGTCTTGAATATGATGACAGCCAGATGGTAAAAAAGAAATCAAGATAGTTTGGTTTGCCAAAATTTGGAAGCCTCAGAGGCAGGACATGGCTCCTTTGAGGATTGGCAAAATTATGGCGATCCGCAAAAATTTGGCAAAGTTTTGAAAACTGGGAGTTGCTCTTATTTTACAGTATTTGTTGACAGGTTTTTTGCTTAAACAATACCAAAAAAAGCTCTGGTGCGACCCAGGCCTTTATTTAATTCAAAAGGAGTGTGATCTTAGGAGAGCACCATACTATTTTTTGTCAGTGATGAACATTGCCATTTACTAACAACAGTGGAAGACATATTGTGACCTTATGGTCATCGTACTGGACTTTGGTACCAGAGGTCTGGGTTCAAGACCTGGCTGAGTCAATGTGTTTTGTTCTTGGGCAGGACACTTTACTCTCCCCATGCCTCTCTCCACCCAGGAGTATAAATGGGTACTGGTGAATTGTTAGGGAAGCCTGATGAAATGCAAACGGGGAGTACAGACATCTTTTCTAACCAATGACAGTACCTCTGATCTCCCACAGCACTTCAAAAATGTTATGGAATTTTGTGGGATGTTAGAGGCAAACCTTGTGGGGAAAAACTGGAAACTTGTTTACATCATGGCCATCATAATTTATTTTTCTTTACATAACAGTAAATATAAAACCAAAAATGCTCGGAATAAAGCATTGCAAACTGGTAAAAAAGTGATTAACATGTATATATGGCTCAGAACCAGAGAAAACATTTTTTTGCTATTTTGACAAACGAAAGCTGTTTGATTAGTGTGATCACTCAAAAGAAGTTTTTGGATCAGAAATAATCTTTCATGGATTAAAAAGATCTTAATTAAAATGAACAGTAACATGATTTTTTGTGGAAAAACTAAACACATTTAACGAGTCTTCAGAAGAATAGTGTTAATTTCCTTGAGATATGTACATTACTGTGTGGGTTTTAAAGAATTGTGTGTGTCCCCCCTGCCCCATCTGCCTTTTTAACCCTTAACACCCTAAGACATTGGTATTCATATTCTCCACACTGGTCTCTTTACATTCCCTATGATACTGACAAGGAGAATTTGTTTGACAATCAGGAACTTCTTAAATTGGTGATCATTTCCTTTATTCTTGTGACCTCTACATTTGATTCATGAGTGATACTGTGAGGAGAAATTAGAAGCCAAGGGGTCAAAGATTTAAAAAGGAAGACAAAAATTGTTGTATAAATTTTTCGGGTGATAACAAATTTAATGTTAAGTACGTGGAAGGACATTTTGGCAGCAGGAAGTTCAAATAATGACTTTTGTGTGTATTTTTCTTTACAGAAGACATGTCTCCATGGCTTCTGCCACTCCATCATATCCTTCTACAAAAGGAACCTCTAACTATGCCCAGCTGTGTCGCCTTCTTGTTGAAGTTGGATCACATGTTCTAAGGGAGATCTTTGACAGGGTATGTCCACCAGAAAACCTTCAGGCAGTTCTGACAAATCCCACAAACCGTGCCAAATTACAAACACTTCGAAAGAAGAGAGTCCTGAGTACCTCCCAGTGGGAGAAACTGTATTCTGTCGTCAAATCATCAGTTTCATCAGGGAACTTTGACAGCTCCCTGCTGCTACTTCTTCTGAGAAATATCTTAGGTCTGACTCTCCCTGCCTCTGGCTGTAATAACCTTCCTCCAAGATCAGACACCTCTCCAGAAGCTGACATCACTCGCATCAAGTTTTTCAGGGACAGAGTTTTCAGTCATGCCGCTAATGCTTCAGTTGATGATCCAACCTTTAGTTTGTATTGGAACAACATCAAAGACACCTTTCTATGTATTGGAGGGACCCGCTATGAGGAAGTCATAGATGATCCTACACTCCATTGTATGGATACCGATCTTGAAGAACACTACCGAGAGCTTCTGAGAGAGTGGTTGAAAGGTAATGACTGCATCACAGAAAAATTGCATGAAGACAAAATTGTGATAAAGGCCAGGGAGGGAGGGAACATGGAGGATTCATTTGACATTTCTGAACAAAATTCATGTGTGAGAGGTGTGTGTAATGTTTTGTTAAACCTGAGTTTTTAATAAAAAAACTTTGTAGAGTCAATAATGTAAGTTGATCATACTAGATCATTAGATGAAATGAATTTCCTGCAGATTTATTTTAAAAGTCACAATTATGCTTAATTGAAGTTGTGAATCTTTATTCCCCTGACATGTTAAATGTAACCATAATTTTTTTTTTTATCTTTCTTATCCGAAAAAAAACTACAACCTTCTTCCTCAGGGACAGCAATAATGCTAGGGGAAAATACATCAGCACAGACTGGCAATAGCAGCCCACCAGAGCTCAGTGTGAAACTTCCAGAGTTGAGTGATCTTCGCACGATCTTTAATCCTTGGAAAACTGTTGAACTTCCTGTTGATGTTCTTTTATTAACTGTGGAGGACTGTGAGTTCTTAAGCTGCTTTGCCTACCTGAAGGAACCCTTTAATAGTTACCACATCAGTACTGGCCCTGTGTACTTTGGGTGCATGGGTGATGATCAAGGAAAGAAAATGAAAATTGCATTGATGAGGTGCTCCAAAGGTCCTGATGTTCCTGGGGGTTCCTTGTCTGTTTCAAAAGATGCCATCTTGCTACTGAGACCTAAGGCTATATTTTCTGTTGGTGCCTGCAGTGGTTTGAACAGCAAAAAGGTCAAGTTAGGAGATGTAGTTGTTTCAGCAAAGCTGATAACAGCCACACACAAAACTCCCCCCAGCAGAGATATTGGAAACCTGATCAAACATGTGGCTGATGGGTGGAAGGCACCTTTACAAAATGCAGATGAATATTATGCCAAAGTGCATGGTGATGGAGTGGTTCTAAGTATCTCAGAGGCCAACAGAGATAAAATTTGCCAATTTCCTGAAGCAATTGCAGTTGAAATGGAAGGTGGAGGTAAGAATTGTAATAATTCAAATAATTGATGAGCCAAGAATGTTTTCACTCAAAGGAAGTGTTTTGAAAAACACTGCTCTGGTATTATCCCTGCTGGTCCTATATTGATTGAAATGGTCATGAAACCCCCATGGGGGTATTGGTCAAAAAGGAAACAATGACATGCGATATATATAGTATGTATTTAAAGTGATTTTATGTTTGGCTGGGGTAGGAAGATTTTTTGCATGTGAAGGTGACTGAGATGTACTGTGCGCCAGTAGGGGAGTTAACACAATGAACCAAGGCACGTCCAGATAGTGAAAGGCTTTAATCGCAACAGGGAAACTAGACTCCGAACGAGTAACAAACAATATGGCCGACGCGACGAGGAGGAAAGCCATCCAAAGGGCATGCTCAACCCAGATACCGCTGACCGGTACTGGCGTGACTTCTTTCTTCTTTTTTTTTTTTTTTTTTTTTTTTTTTTTTTTTAAGGAGAAACAAGAACTAAAAACAATTTAACATACACTTAAGACTAACTAACAAATTGACACGCGCGGGCGAGTCAAAGTTCAGAGTTTAAAGATCGGTGTTCAAAGTTCAGTGTCATAATCTGCAAAACGAGAAGGAGGACGGCGGGTGCGCGATGATCTCCGTAGGGCAGGCGGAGAAGGCACCGCTGAGGTGGCTGCATACTCCACTGGGGAAGGATCAGGGCAGGGCGACTGTGTAGCGAAATCATCCATGGTATGGTCAACGGGAGAGGCAGGGGCTGGACTGTAAGACTGAGGGTTGACAACTGGTGGGTGTGTGGAAGCTGCGATGGCCTCAGGGATGGCAGGCAAAGAGGGGGGAGGGTGAGTCGTTGTAGTAGGACCATCTTCGTCGTCGGAATCAGAGTAGTGTTTGCGTAGGGTCGGAGAGGCACGGAAGGGATCACCCAAGTCAGATGGGACCTTGAAGCACTCAGATAGCTTGACATGGTACGATGAACTTCGCAACTGGGATCCAATGAACTTTTTGATGTTGCAGAATGGAGGATCAATGGCTACAACGAGATAGCGGTCACGAGCACGAGACTTGTTGAGGTCAGAATGAAGGTACACAAGATCACCAATATCGATCAGGGGGGTAGGACGCCTTGACTGACCAGGAGCTTTGGAACGTTCACTGAGGGGATGGTTGGAGAGACGCTGTTCATGCTGGAGGGAAATTAAGTGGTCATCTGCGAGGGGTAACTGCTTGTTTGAGAACTGATCCCGCTGGGTCCACATTTCTCGAGAGGAAAGCCCTCTTGAACGGATACGTGAGTTTAAGGCTGAAGTGGCTACGGCGAGGGTGAGGGGAGAGACAGAACTACCGAGAGGCTCCTGACGTAACAGCTCATTCTCCAATTCCTGGACTGCTCTCTCTGCAACGGGGTTCTTGTTGGGATTTTTGGCATGGCCAAGCTCAATTGTGATTCTGTGTTTCTGTAAGAGTGAATCGTTGACAAGGGCCTTGAATCCGGGAGCGGGGTCGGTGCGGATCACAGCAGGTGGACCATCCATTGGGCGCATTTCCACGCAAAGCTTTATAATGGCATCACGCAAAGTTTGGTGGCGTTCGTTCTCAAGAAAGAGACTGGACGTGTAAGAGGTCACTGTTTCACGGAGTACAAAGATAAGTTGGCGAGAACGTTTTATGACATCTGCCGCAAAGGACTGCCCAATAGTTTCAGGTGGAGGCGAAGTGGACTGGTCAATTCGTGCTGTTGGTGATCTCTGAATTGCTGCACAGGAGTGGCATCCATCGGAAACACGGGAGACTGCCTTGTCCAGGTCGAGGGCGAACAGATAACGCTTGGCAACCATTTTTAACTGGTGACAAGAAGGGTGGCTGAGCTGAATGTGAAGGGCTGTCAAGAGGCCATCCAAGGCCTGGCGAGGGACAATGATACACTCTCTGGTCGGTGACAAGGGATCATGACGTTGGACGACGAGCAGGCCATCACTTGCGATTGAGGCGACCTGCAAATAGCGTTTGACGTCCTTTATGTTTGTGAGCTTCTTGGAAGGCCTTGTGCCTTGGACAAGGTGTGCGTGCGTGCGGCGTAGGTCTGGGCATTCAGACTGTATGGCCAACCAGGCCGGACGGCTGGTGAAAGGGAGGCGGGCATTGCCTTGGAGGATGTCCTGGACAGTCGCGGCTCGGACAACAGAATCTCTGGTTGAGGCGATAAACAGGCAAATCTGACAGGTTTCATTCTCACAAGGAGCAGCATTTCGACTCGCGAAGTCTGACTGGAGGATAGAGGCGCCGGAGACGTGTCGCACTGAGGCCTGGTAGCGGCTGACAACTGACAGGAAAGTAGATACGCGAGGACTTGCGGAGAACTCGCCGCGGCATAGCTTCTCATAAGCCTGGACGCATGGCTTACTGTCCGTTAGGATACAGGCTTTATTGGATGACTGGATGAGGTATGGACTGAAGTGCTTTGTAGCCGCAGCGATGGAGAGGGCTTCTACTTCGCACGGAAGCCACGTTGTCTGAGTGCCCCGCAGCCTAGCGCTGAAAAAACCGGCGATGTGTAGCTTGTTGTTGCGCGTCACATAGAGGGTGGCGCCTATTCCTGGGTCCTTGACTGCGCCATCGGTGACGACCCATAGTTGGTCCTCAGGTCTAGGTAAGGTGATAGAGAGGGCTGAGGATAGGGCCTTCTGAGCGTTATGGAATGCAGCCCTGAGACTATCAGACCAGGTGATGGATTCTTGTGAAGTACGTCCAGCCGTGACGGCATCCAGCGGGGTTAGATAACTAGAGCACCGTGGGATAACACGAGACAGGACTTTGTACGCACCAATGAACGATCTCAAACGACCAACAGTGTTTGGCACAGGGTACGTGGCGAGGGTGTTGAGGCGGTGGGCACTGGCAGACAGGGTACCGGCGGACCAAATCCAACCAAGGATAGTGGTTGACTTGGGGTTGATTATGGTCTTGTGGGCTGACAAACGCAGGTTGCATTTGTGAAGAGCTTGCAGGACCCTCTTCCAGTTGTGTAGTAACTCTAGAGGGGTGTTGCCCCCGCAGTATAAATCATCGGCGATCTTGGCCACGACTCCATCTTGAAGTAAGGGGCCTAGAACACGGCACATAACCTCCTCTAGAGCAGTCTCTGAGCCAGGCATTCCCATAGCGGAGCGGGCATACACCCGGACGCCTTTAAAGGGGGTGGCGACACCGCAGTACTTCATGGACTCTTTGGCTAAAGGGATCTGGTAGAAAGCACTTGTAAGGTCAGTGACAATTATGTGTGACCATTGGGCGATGAGCCGTAATGTGGAGTCAACATCGGGTAGCAGGGATGGTTGTGGTTTGCTGTATCTGCCCACATCAGAAAAGGCGGTGACGAGACGGGAACCACCATTAGGCTTCTTTACAAGGAAAGATGGATTGAGGTATTCAATGGTGATACCCACATCTTCGGGGCGGCGGAAGACGCCAAGATTCTCTAGGTCGTCAAACTTTTCCTGGAGCTCGATGAGCTTATCCCGTGCGTATTGGGGGAGGCGACCCTTCCGCTGAGGAGGTTCGACAGGACCCATGTTGACTTTGGCCTTGTATGCGCCAGCGGCTCCATTGTATCCGGGGAATTGCGGGTCAAATACAGTGTCGTACTCTGTAAGTAGTGATTGGAAGTCTGCACGAACGGTTTGGGGAAGGGTGTTGTCTGGATCAACCTGAACGGACGCAGAGTAACGTGTACTGGAGGGCGGCAACGGGCGCTGAGCAGTAGGTGGGGGTGATGATGGGACTTCGGGGGGCTCAAAAACAGGGATGACTTGGCAGAAGTGTTCGTGGCGCTTGAGAGTGCGGGGTACGCTTGATAGGTTAGGAATCCGTATGGCTCGGGCAACGCTGGAAACGACACCAGGTTGTGGCCACAACTGGGATGGCTTCAGATTGTGTGCACTGGGTGCGTCGATGCGAGGCTCTAGTGCGTACTCCGAGTCAGAAGGTGCATCGTCTGGTAGACGTACTTCCATGAACTCTCCAGGCCACACTGTCTGGGATGGAGCGGGGGCACGTAGGACAAATGCTCTACGTGCGGTTGCATGAGGGTTGGGTGGGGATTTGGACCCATACGTGTAGACTGAGCCATTGCCTAGTAGTACCTCTCTCTTAGCGGGTCGGACAGCGATGTCATTCGTCTCCATAAAGGGGGTACCGGCAAGTACCTCAACATCAAGATTCTCAACTACGAGACCTTCAAACGCGAAGTTTGTGTGGTCCCGGGTGAAGGTGGTACGAATTTCTCCTATCACCTGGAGCTGAGACGAGCCATCAGCCTGTTGGACGGACTGGGCACTTGAGATTATCGGACAGCCGAGGTGTTTCGCGGTTGAACGGCGTATCATATTTCCAGTTGCACCGCTGTCGAGGGTGACGCGCACGACTCGATGATCATGAAAGACATCCATGTAAGGGGACTGGCGGGTCTGCACACGGTAGGCCACCATGTCCGGGCCTGGCAATGTTGTGTCAGGGTCTGGTGAATCAGAATCAGGACTGGTCTCAGTTTCTTGGTCATTGTCAAGGATGCCGGCGATCTGTCGTGCTTTCACCATGAAACGCCTGTCACTGTCGGGGAGGAAGGTACACTGACTGAGGAAGTGGTTTGTCATAGAACGGCCAGCCTGTTTACATAGAGGACAGACCTTGTCTTGGCGGGGTTGTCTGGGACGGGCTCTAGGAACACCCCTGTTACTCTGACGAGGGCGACGAAAATCGTCTGCAACAGCAGCACGCAGGATTCTGGCATCATCCGACGTGCGGATTTCCTCGAGTAAGGAATTGAGGGCCTGCGAGATCTCAGGTTTGATCGAGGCAAGAGTACGGGATCTCAACTCTGTACCATAACGCTGCTTAACCAGTCGTGGGAGACTGGGGTGAATGAGGCGTAACCAAGTGAGGACCAAAAAGTTTTCGAGTGTAGGGGTTAATTCCTCATCCTCCTGCACTGCTTGGCCATTGTGGGTTAAGCCGTTGGCACGTAGCAATGAATCTTCTACGAATGCTGTGAGGCGCTGGTACAGATCTTCGGGGCGCTCATCAGCAGCTAGGTGTATTTCGGAAAAGTCAATGAACTGAGCCCCGGTGACTTGGAAACCAAAGTGCTGTCTGATGGTTTGCCAGATGAACTCGAGGGATGTAGAGTTTTTCACCAGAGTATTTCGAGAGATAATTGGACAATAGTTGGCGATCTGTCCTAACATCAGCTCGAGGAAGTTAACCTTTTGGCGGGCTGTCAGGCGACGAGCTAATGGCACTGATTCGCCATCGTTGTGGAGACCTCGAAGCGGCTGACCCCTGGTCTTTTTTAACCATGTGAATCCATCTGCGAGGAAGGGGGCGAAGTTGCTGTCCAAAGAAAGAGTGTAAATGAGGTTTTGCTTCCAGTTTTCAAAGGAATTGATAGATTCCACTTTGGAGAGGCACCACTGCTTCGGTGCCGGTGTGTTGCAGCCATATTTCACGTTTAGGGCTCTGGAACGTGTTGACACGGCGAAGGATACACTGTTTTGGCTCACGTGGACGAGGCGAAAAATAGCCTTCTTCGGCGAAAATATGGCCTGGGTAGAACCGAACACTGCCACCACGCCAGTAGGGGAGTTAACACAATGAACCAAGGCACGTCCAGATAGTGAAAGGCTTTAATCGCAACAGGGAAACTAGACTCCGAACGAGTAACAAACAATATGGCCGACGCGACGAGGAGGAAAGCCATCCAAAGGGCATGCTCAACCCAGATACCGCTGACCGGTACTGGCGGTGGATAACTAGAATGAATGTGCTCCTTCAGGATGTCATGAATTGTATTAAATTTGTCATCTGAAAAATGTAGAAAGTATCTTGTTAAATAGTTTGAGAGTTGAGGAATAGTATCACAGTCCCTGACTTAACCTTGAAACTTCCATGAGTGACCAAGACAGAATTTCTCATCACAGTATTAATATGATAACAAGCAGACAATTAAAGGGAAAAGAAAAAGAAAATGTCAATAAGGGGATTATTGGTTGATCCAAAACCAAATTCTCCTAACTAACATCATAGGAATTGTATGACAGATATTAAAGAGAATTACTGAAGAGATCTTAGGTGTGTAAGGGTTAACTCTATCTGACAGAAGTTTGTCTTTTGAGAAATGTTGAAAGTTACTTATGAAACAATCGAAGCCTGAGGAATAATTTTTACAGTCTCAGTGTACAATTTTTTTTAAATTACTAGTTGAAAAAGATTAGATTTCAGTACTAACTAACGTCTTTGTGGAATGTGCATGTTTACAAACAGGCAGAGTGTGAATCTTTGCGAGATTCGATTGAACAATTATTTTAAGGATGCTAAGAAAATAAGCTTAATATATAGTTAACAGACATGAGTGTTTTTTTTCAGGAGTGTATGCGGCAGCCCATGATTTTAAGACAGAATGGGTGGTAGTCAAGGGCATCAAAGACTTTGCAGATGAAACGCAGTCTTCAAGTAAGAAATGGAAACAAATTGCCTGTGTGATGGCAGCATCTGTTGTGGCCAAAATTTTAAACAATCCAGTCATATTCCAAGATTGGCCTCACTTTAATGCAGGTATTGCTTCCTGTCTCAATCTTCTCTTTTTACAAGGATAGGTCTGACTTAAATCTAAGTTCCCTTAGCATATTCTTGTATGGATTATAAATCAAGATGAGTTAATTATAATTTCTGTAATAGTTCACAGATTAGAAATTAAGTTACCCTTATTTTGAGTTTACATACCTGTAGGTTTAACAAGCCTCTTATGGTGGTGGGAGAAAAAACTTGTGTTTAAATCAAATGATGTAACGATGAGCCAAGCGAACTGACCTGTATTCTATAATTAGCTTGGTTTATGAAACACAACCAAAATATGGAAAATTCAGTAGCTAATGACATTTGCCAAAGTGATTTGAAGTACTGATTTGATATATGTTCCTGGGCCAATAAGCAACACATCAAATTGTTTTAAACTGAAAAAATAGATTCATCAAGTACTGCATGTGTGTCTGTATTTTGATGTGAAAACTATTGGAATGGAAAGGGAAGAGATAAATGTCAGCACACATCTTTATGGTTCTGTTTCTTTGTTGTTGTTGTTTTTTTTACCCTTTTTTGGAATCTGACATAATATAGTTTGAGATGAATGAATCAGATTGTAAATAAATTTCTCAGGTAAATTGCTTTAAAGAGACAACATTAATTTTTTGTTTATCATTTCATTTAGGTGCCAATGAATTATCCTCTCAAGGTAAGTCCAACATGTTTTGATGAATGAAATACTTTGTGTTATTACGTCCATAACTTATCAACCTGACAGGTGGTAACTAGTTGTAGTAAGGGTTGAGTACAATTTATTTCCTTGATAAAGAAGGTAATAAGTGTTCTGAGATAATTTGTGAACATGCATTGTATAGAGAATGATAATAGTGCTACAGACAATGTTTGTTAGGATAGTGATATCTGTGATAATGATAGTAATAATAATAATAATGATAACGATAATAATAGTTAACGATTAACAGTGAACTTATATACGACTGTTTTAACTCTCATCATCAGTTCCATTCATATTATTTGTTGAAGTGATTAAACTGACATGTATTATTAGAGACAAAGTTTAAAAGAAGCATCATTTTGAACAGGTTTACCTGAGAAACCAACCATCACAAATACAGAAGCAGAAGTTGACAAGGATTTCGTGGTTACCTGGTCAGAAGCTGGGGCTAACAGCAGTAATTGCAGCATTAAATACCGTCTGGAATGGAGGAAACAACCCATGACAGGATCCACAGAAATGGTTCAACGAGAAAATATTGTGGAAACTCACCTCAAGATTACTGGTCTTGAGTATGACACAGAGTATGAAGTGAAACTGTTTGCTGTCAACGAACAAGGAGACAGTGAGCCAGATGTCAGAACATTTAAGACAAAGAGTGGTATGTACCTTTATTTAAGGCTTCTCACTTTACTTTTGGTGTAATTGTTTGAAATGAAATAAGAGAAATACTGTCGGGTCCCAAATACAGGAGTAATACTGCTTGTAAGGGGGGGAAGGATTGTGAAACTTTCTGACAACATGTATAGGTTTAATACTCATGTTGCAGCTCTCATATGAGAAAAAATAATCATTTGCCCAACATTTTTTTACAATCGTCATTTTTGATTCGGTCGTAAATTACATTGATAAGAGTTGTTCATCAATGTTTTATTAACCTTTCTTATTATATCAATATGTTTAGTTTTAGTAACAAAAAATATTTCACAGTTTTTAGAGGCAAAGTTTAAAAGAAGCATCATTTTGAACAGGTTTACCTGAGAAACCAACCATCACAAATACATAAATAGAAGTTGACAAGGATTTCATAGTTAACTGGTCAGAATCTGAGGCTAACAGCAGTAATTGCAGTATTAAATACCGTCTGGAATGGAGTAAACAACCCATGGCAACATCCACAGAAAACTTTCAACGAGGGAATATTGTTGAAACTCGCCACACGATAACTGGTCTTGAGTATGACACAGAGTACGAAGTGAAACTGTTCGCTGTCAACGAACAAGGAGACAGTGAGCCAGATGTCAGAACATTTAAGACAAAGAGTGGTATGTACCTTTATTTAAGACTTCTCACTTTACTTTTGGTAGAACTGTTTAAAATCAAATTTTAAAAAAACTAATACTATTACTATTAATATAAAAGCAGCAACTGCTGCTTGTAAATGTTCCATTGACCCCTTTTCAGCAAGAAGTAGAACTTGTTAAAAAAAAGCAACGAAGGATGCTTCTAATAGCTTTACTGGCCCTCCTTAATACTCATGCTGCAGCTCTCGTGTAAGATAAAAATAATATTTGCCAAACATTTTTTATTATCTTCACCATTGATTTAGTCGTACGTCATTGATAAGATAAAGAGTAGATCATCAATGTTTTATTAACCTATTTTTATTATACCAATATGTTTAATTTTATGTAGTTGGTATTGATTGCCAGTCAACTATTTGGTAATGCATACCTCTGAAAACAAACAATTCAATGATCATTGTATGGAATTAAAAATTTCGTGTCTGTGTATTTTGATCCACATATTGCACCCAAATTTGCTTTATTCTATGCTAACTTCTAATTTCTGTCCAAGTCATTATATACTTTTTGTCGTTGTTGATGTTGCGGTTCTTTCCCTGAATAAATGATTTTATCACAGAGAGGTTAGTTAATAACTTGCAGATCAAGAATCATTCTTCCTCCTGACGTTTTTGCATTCTTTGCCACTGAGTGCCATTCTTCCTGTGCGACTTGAGGTCTGCAATGAACATTTACCTTTTGGATGACTTTGCTGTTGCGGGCGCTCTACAGGCAAGTGTAGGGAGGGGATTCAGAAATTTGTGATTGAGGAAGAGGGGGTGTCAAAAATTACTCCTCGATCTACCCTCTCCCATGCCCTGCCTCCCATCCAATCGAGCTTACTTGGGGCATTCGGATGCGCAACTGCTTTTTAGCTTGACTTTGGCCTAAACTAGATAGGACTGGAAACGATTGTCACAACAATCGTCGTGTTTCGACACATGATTAAGTAAATCTTTCTCTAAGAGCCATGGACTGTTCTTATTCCAACAAAGGAAGCAGAAAATACTCTGCGCCAAAGCTCTATCTTTTCATCTCTATTTTGTTGCACAGAAGAAAAGCGAACTCGTTTTTTAGAGTCCAGTGATATTAAAAGCTTGTTGCACATACACATCCGCCATCAGATCAACACTGGCTTTTTTGCGAGCGGTTCTCTTGCGATCTAAAGAATTAACGGAAGGGTTATAGAATAAATAAACCCTTTTCTGGCTTGCTTGTATGTCGGCTGATAATGTTCTTGGCTGTAATTTTTTCCCTATGATTTTACATGTGGCTTGGAAGCTTCGCTTGTAGGCCAATTATTCATTTTTAGGACAATCTCTCAGTCGTGGACATTATTAGCTGACATATTACCCGCCCGAGAGGGTTTATTTAATAAACATGTATGCTTAATCTTTGAGGTAGGAATACTGCTTCTATGAACACGCTTAAGCGGCCAACATTTGCGTGCAGGCGTGATGAACACTCTTTAAATCTAGTTATGTAAAAAATGTATCAAAAGACACTGCCCTTAGTATTTTATGAATTATTTTACTTTTAATAATACTAAATAGGGTTCACTGGCGCGCTACGCGGCAGAGTTATCAAATCCACCTGCCTGCAGTAAGACGCAAGTTGCCGAGAGATCTTTTTATTATCATGGCTGTTCTGTTTATAATAATTTTCATTCACGTGAATTATCTTAATTGTCTTTTTTTCCCATTAATTTTTTTATATGTTTTTAAACATTTTCATAGATACTTTTGATATACTTGTAATCAGAAGATATTTAAATTCAGGGATCCTACTGATAGCAGGATAGTCTACTTTTAGGCTTCTGACAGGACTAGCCTAAGTTTTACTATTGGTTATTTTTGGATAGTTATATGTGATCCTGTTGTTTCAATAATTTGGGTGTCAGACAAGTGGATCTGATGGAGGTGGAGCCAGGACCTCTTGGAGGGGGGCCTTCCTCCCCAAACCACCACCGATTTTTAACCGTTATAGGATCCGTGAGTTGGGGCTCTGATATCCAATACTGAAATTGTTTCCCTGTCAGACACTAGACTTTGAAATTTACATGCAAGACTAAGCTTCTTAGAAATATGTGTGGTACTAATGTGCCTTTAGTTTGTTATACTTTTTTTTTATCAATAAGAGTAAGACCAATGTAGCCTAAGATCTTTTTCTTCAAAGCTTGTGTGTCGATTGACCTGCCCTCAAAACAGTTAAACCCTGTGGAGTAAGAGTGAAAGTACCAATAAACTGCTATCCTCGCGGTCATGTTATTTATTAAATATGTTTCTTTTTTTATTTTAGCCGTAAGTGCCTACACTTCAGCTTTAAAGACTTCCATCATAGGCCAAACGGAGTTCCAACCCAAACTGCTTGCCTCTCGCACGATTACCAACGCGAAAACAGACGAAATATTCATTAATCTTCTCATGCAACATGGAAGAAAAGCCCTGATCAAGAATGATTGCCAAATCAAGAATTATTCAAGGAGAAAAGTGCTTGAGTACTACGGAAAAGTTAGCGGTACCCCAGTCAAGCACTCTAGTGAAATATTTCTTGGCGTGATTGATGATCAGGAAAGTGCTAATTCTATTCTTGTCGTTGGAAAAGCAGGGATTGGGAAATCCCTGTTTTGCCAAAAGGTGATTCGCGATTGGGCGAACAACAAATTACTTCAAGCACTAGAAAGCAGTGAATTTCCCAATTTAAAGTTTGTGTATTTGCTCACTTTCCGTCAATTGAATTTGCTTGAAAATAACTATGTGACATTAAGAGAAATCTTAAATTGTTCTTCGGTACTGGATGACACATGTAACATTGATGACTCAACATTTGAGTACATTGTAAATCATCCCAGGGAAGTAATGATAATTCTCGACGGCTATGATGAGTATTCTCAGAAAACCAACATCGCTGGAAACTCGGAAGGACGGCATCCCAATAACGCTAGATGTAAAATGCCGGTGGCCGCATTGTGTTCAAAACTCATCAATGGAAAAATCTTGAAAGGGGCTATCGTCATGATTACCTCGCGTCCTGATGAATCGGACGAGATGGGAGGAATCCGTTTTAAACGATATGTGGAAATTGCAGGATTTTCGTCGGAACAAGTCAAAGAATACGTTGAGAAATACTTCCAGAAAAACGAAAATATGAAGAACGCTGTTTTTAAACATGTCATGAACAATGAGAACCTTGTGAGTTTTGCTCATATTCCTATGCTCTGTTATCTGTTGTGCTTTGAGATGGAGTATACCCTAACCGAATCAGAAAATCCTGATGACCTTCCTGTCTCAACAACCGACGTTTACACCAAACTTATTGAAATATTTGAACTTAAGCACTACGCCGAGTCAGAATACAGACAGAAAGAAATTCCTGAGCAATTCAAGGCCCCTCCTGTCATCAAGAACACTTTAGATAAATTATCAAAGCTAGCGGCTAAACTGTTGGTTGAAAGAAAGCCAACTTTTGATGAAAGGGAGATGGAAGGCGATTTTGAAGCGGAAGAAGTCAGCAAACTGAAAGGTAGCGGTCTTCTTTACTGTGGTCAGCCTTTCAGGACTGCACTGATTACAACCACGAAGCACTTTAGCTTCACACATCTAACCGTCCAAGAATTCTTGGCTGCTCGTTGGTTTGTTAAGGAAAATTGTGTTCCAGACGAAGAATGCTCTAAAATGGTTTTCCAATTTTTTGCTGGCGTGTTATCAAGTGAGGGAAACGAAGAACTGATGAAAAAACTATTAGATTCACCCTTTATGCATCGTAATCTTAAAATGACGTGTCTGAATGAGTATCAAAACAAAGAATTTGCCAAAAAATTCATCAGGAATAATCCGCAAGCGTTTTGTAATTCAGATGGCGTCATGGCTTTTATGGGTTTATCAGATATGGACTGCATTGGAGTATCATTTGTGTTGGACATTATGAGTGAACTAAATAAAGAGGAAGCTGGAGGGGCACAACACAAATGTTCTGATAAGTTCGTCACAGTTCAGAAGTTACAACTTAGAGAATCACAGCTAACACTGTCTGGAATACAACGAGTCTGTAATTCACTAAACAATGAACACTGTCTTGTGTCTGAACTGGAATTATTCGAGATTTACTCTACTGATGAATGTGTTGATGTTATTAATAGATTAGTAGTAAGGAAGTTAACCAAATTAAGTCTAGTGATCACTAAGATCACTGATACCGGTGTGGCCAGTCTATGTGAAGCTTTACAGCATCCAAGCTGTAAGCTAACCACACTAAATCTGCAGGGCAGTTCTATCACTGATACCAGTGTTGCCAGTCTATGTGAAGCTTTAGAGCATCCAAACTGTAAGCTAACCACACTAATTCTACAGGAATATAACATTGCTGATACCGGTGTCGCCAGTGTATGTGAAGCTTTACAGCATCCAAGCGGCAAGCTAACCACACTAAATCTGGGGTGTAGTTCTATCACTGATACCAGTTTTGCCAGTCTATGTGAAGCTTTACAGCATCCAAGCGGCAAGCTAACCACACTAAATCTGGGGTGTAGTTCTATCACTGATACCAGTTTTGCCAGTCTATGTGAAGCTTTACAGCATCCAAGCTGTAAGCTAACCACACTAAATCTGACTTCGTCTCTTAGTTCTGAATATTGCGAAATTCTTAAAGCTATAACTCAGAGACACCGACCAGCTTTAAATCTGTCTTTTGAGGGTATTCTAAATCTTATATAGTTTCATCAATTTTTTAGTTGATTTTTGTATTTAAACAAAATAAATAGTTGCAAGTCAAATCTTAATTTTGGGTCAAAGAGACTTACCAGGTAGACGAAGTATTTTTAATCACCAGAGTGAAAAATAACGCTTAATGTAAATAGAACCGCAAATATTTTGTAATAAAAGGTTTTTTTTACTAGCGACATTGTTTACTGTACTTGGTTTGTGGGTGAAGACCACTCGAGTGGTGACAAGTAAGACTTGGGGTCGGGGGAGGGTGGGAGGGTAATCTTCCGAGAGGCTACTGGGCATCTAAGGAAGCTTTCGGACAAGAACATTTAGTTAAAGTTTCTCGAGGTAAGAAAAAAGAGGAAAATGTCTTCCCGTTCACCTTATTCTGATTTGATTTTTGGTGAAATCACACCCTTCTAAGTACTGCCAAAAAAGAGATGGTTTTCTTGTTTTGTTTTTTTTTTCATTAAGCAACAATTTTTCGTTTTAACTGTCCGCTGTTACACTGTACCGATCACTGCAAAACTTTTTCATCCTCGTTTAAGTTGTTCAGCTCTGTTATGTTAAGTTCCAGACGAATTACATGTAGAAAGCTGGATCGAGAGATAAAGTAGGAGGTTAAATTTCCCACTTGAGAACCCAGCTTATGTAGCATGCACCACCGGTTTTAACCTTTTTGGAGTAAGTTGCCGTGGTGTATCCAAGCTCAGATTAGTTCACAGATTGGACATTTAATCTCTGGTTTCACAAATTAATATCTCGAGTCAGCTCTGTTAGTGCCGCTCGACAAAGACGCAAAATGGTGATGGGAACAGATTAAACGGAAAAATTTATGTTTTTTTTTTTTAATTGAGGTGGTATGTTTGGCGTTTTACAAAAACGGTGAACTTAATACTGAGTAAGTTTGCAATAACAGTTCTTCTGAGAACCTCATGGCCACTATTGGAGACAGAAAAGTCAGTGCTATACTCGCTAAAATAAGAGACAGCCAAACGCTACTGATCTCGCCAATTACATCTCCCCAGAAAAACAGTCAGCCTCCAAACGTTCCATTGTGAAGGCACGCACTAAACGAGCCAGTGCAGAATTAAACGACGACTTGCTTTCGTCAAAACTAGCTTCCAAAAAGTACTAAGAGTTACCAAACGACCACGACATGCCTTTGTAAAAACCAACCCCTAAGCGTCTTAAGACGGAAGCGAGTTTCAACAACCTGCGGAACACAATTGCCTACATGGAGACACGGCGCGCAAAAACAAAGAAATTCTTTTTTGTTCTTGTATGGAGGGTTTAAAGGAGGGAAGAAGGAATTAAAGTCGTCTGTCAAAACTGTACGAAGAGTATTATCAGTCAAACCTTCGATCCCAACAGCAGTTTTGAGACACCTTATAAGACTGATTCATAACGAAAACTCTTTCAAATTCAACCACAAAAACTATTTTCAAACACTCGCAATAGCTTTGGGGAAAAAAATGACGGTAGCTTTTGCAGTCATATTCATGGCTCTTATTGAGAAAAAGGTACAAACTAGCTACAAGCCCACAGAAACCATTTCTTTGGAAAAGACACATTGACGACATCTTTTATGCGCGGACCATTCCCGAAACCGAAATCAACAACTTCGTTGATTTTGCTAACTCATTCCGCGCCACCTTTAGATTCACTAATGAACAGTCATCAAAAAAAAATTGTTTTTCTCGATACTGAAGTGTTTTAAGGACCGAGATTTACCGATAGCAAAATCGTTGATTTTTAAACATATTACATGCCGACAGAAACGTTCCAAGATACACACAGTTATCTTCACGCCACC